GACTCTACAAGTCTCAAACTGACTTCAGTCAGCTACCTCTTGTTATGTGACCCATAATAGGATGTCTTTTCTTTTTAAAGGTGGTAAGCATGTTTGATTCTCCTTTAAATCTTTCCTTCACTTTCCCTTTCATGAAACAGGCTCTTAACAATCTGCTTTGCTTGTGAAATGTCTCTCAAGAACGTCCTCTTTCTATTTCTGCTGCCCTAAATCAAGGGTACATCATCCCTTATTGATTAATTGCAACAGGAACTTATTTGGCCTTCTTGTCCTTGTTGGTCACCAGTTCTTCCTATCTTTGCGGAATTATCAGTATAAAACTCAGATTTGCCAATGCTGTGATTAAAACCCTGTGCTTGTTTGTCATTGTCTGTTTTTTTTTTGTTTTTTTTTTTGTTTTTTTTTTTGTTTTTTTTTTTGTTTTTTTTTTTGTTTTTTTTTTTGTTTTTTTTTTTGTTTTTTTTTTTGTTTTTTTTTTTGTTTTTTTTTTTTTTTTTTTTTTTTTTTGGTACTGGGGATTGAACTCTGGCCCTTGCCCTTGCCCTTGCCCTTGCCCTTGCGAGGCAGGGAGTGGAACCACTGAGCCAAATCTCCGGCCCGTCATTGTCTTTTAAGTCAGGAATTAAGAGCAAAGCTTTGGAGTCTGACTGATTTGAATTTCTTCCCATATTCTGGCCATGATGTGTTGGGGATTTAGCCTTAGTTTTCTTTTCAATAAAATAGGCATAATAATAGTTCCTCCTGATAAAAGTGTTCTTTCAATGAAATAAAAAATATTTAAAAAATTTCAGTGCTTGGCACATAATCCACGAATGATAGCTATTATCATTGTTTTCTGTAGAACAGCACTCACAGCCTTTTGAACTAAACTCCATTGTAGCTTGGGTTGCATTATAGTTTTCAGGTCTGGTAATGACTTGTCACATTATCACACCTTTAGGTTTGGGCTCTCATTCTATTGATTCATTCTAGAACACTCCTGCCTGCAACCTCTCTCTGCTTGTTGGAAATATACTGTGCCACCTATCCTGTGAAACCTTTCTTAGTTTTCGCAGTCAGAATTGATTATTCTTTAGGGTTTCCTTCGTCTTAAAGAGAGATGATGCCATTAGTTATTCCATTCTTCTAGTGCTTAAGTGCCTAGGCTCTTAAGGGTCCAAAAATAGCAAGATCAATTGGTGTTAGCTGTTGTTGTTATTGTTATTTTCATTAGTTGTGTACGTGTATTCTCCAGATTGCTGTCTCTTCAAGGATGAAAATAAACTGATTTATTTTTGTCTGTCTCACAAATCCTGGGACAGTCTTTGGTACACAATGAACAGTCAGTAAATGAGTGTTGAGTTAAAGGGAAGGAAGAGGAGGACTTTAGCTGCCTGTTGTTGGAAGGAGGTGAGGTGGCTAAGGTTAGATGTGATCCTCTTTGGATGTGGGGAGCCATCTGCTATAATTTCCTGCCGCAGAATGAGAGCATGTCCCGCATCAGCAGGACTGTGTGGCAGAATTCTTACTGTAGCAACTTATTCTAGTTTCTTTTCTAGCAAAGCAAGGGCTTCGCATTCTTGAAGAATCCAATTGTGTGAAAAATCACTAACAAAGCAGAATTTTTTGGTATCAAATACACTTATACCTTTACCTCTTTATTTTCCCTACATCTTTTAGATTCTTGAAACTAATTTCGAGGTCTTTTGAAAGTTAATATATTTTCCAAATACTGTTTCACATCGAGTTTAATTTTCTACAACTAAAACACAATAAATGCAAATAAGTACAAAGCTAGCTTTTTCAGGTATATACCCTGTGGTCAATGTGAGGTATTTCACTCCTTAGGAGAGCTTGAAGAAATTCACAACAGTGAAAAAGGTGTGTTCTCACCATTCATTTCCTCTTTCTTGCCTTTGTTCAGATTTGAATAGACAAGTAGTTATTGAGAAAAATACTATTTTAATAGACTGTTTTATAGTATCAGCTTTTAGGGAAGTGATTTGCAAAGTGCTATGTTAAAAATGAGGAAGTTGTAAAAATGCCTTTTAGTAGTTGCAGATCTGGGAAAATACGTTCTTACTGTTCAGTGTTGGATCTTTGAAACAATAATGTTAAATAACACATTTTGAACTGTGCTAGCTTGGTAGCTCCATATAAATAATTCCTAATGGGCAAAGTATATTAGTGTGATAGTAAATCTGTAAAGATTTCAGGTATAAATATCAATGCGATTTGTATTAAGCAAAATAAATAAAGACACGAAATAGAAAAAAAAATGAGTGAAGACAGTGTTGGCGTTTAACAGCTTCTAGGTAATGGTCCTTTATCAAGTGGATGCCGCCAAATGGAAGCTGAAACACTCAGCAGACAGCAGGAGAGGTGCCACGTGATTACAAATGAGCGACCCAAAGGAATTAAAAAGTTGAAAATCAGTTTAAAGCTTTCCCTCACTTTGAAGTTTAGATTGATTATTTCTTTCTGGAAGCAGACGTATTTTCTTGTCTCCTTTCCTGAAACAGCCCCCTGTTTTCCGACCACCCCCTCTCCCACTTTCCCTGGGTTTGAATAACATTGTGTACGGCTAAATCCCAACAATATCTGAGCACGGAGGTTGTGCCCAGTTCACAGACCAAGAGTGGTGTGAAGAGGGATTCATTAATGCCTTAAAACTATCCCACAAATTCGGAACTATTAGGCCCCTCACTTTACACGTGGGAAAGCCAGGCCTTGAGTGGTTGTCAGCAGTCACAAATTCGGACTTGCTGGTGGAACTTTGTCCTACAGGTGTGTTTTGTTCGGCCTGTTAGGATACTTTAAGCTTTGGGGGCAAATAGCTAGAAATTTCCTGATGTCTAGCTTCTCATGAAAGTTTAGAGGCTCTGACAGTGTCTGACTGATACTCCTGCATGACACCAACTCACGGGAGCTGTGTGGCAGCTGTCCCTCTTACATGATTCATGCAGCTCCACGTTTGCAGTCTTCACAATTCCCTTTTGTTTTAGACCTGTTTCATTTACTCATGTTACCTGCCGTGCCCTTCTGACAATTGTTTTTATATAGCAAGTGAGAGTAGAAACTTTTCTTTTGATTCCTAAAGCAACTGTAGGTTTCTTCCCCCCTCATTCAGGCAGTGGTTTATAAGCAGAAAAGTCCTGGGCTGCAGCTGCAGTCCTTTCAATGCCATTGACTTGCAACGTGGCATTGAATACATAGCTTAACTTCTCTGAACTTTAGTCGTAATAAGGATTTTAATCATGTGCATAGTTTTTTAAAAAATTAAAAACATGGTGCTGTGCCTGCCTGGCAAGCGCAAGGTCCTGAGTTCGGTCCCTGCTACCAGGAAAAAGAGAGCTAAAAACAGCTCCATAAAATCATAGTTAATATTTTGTTTTATATATTTTATATTTTTATTATATTAATACTGTGTATTTTATATATTATATTGGTTGCTTAAAAATACTGCTTCACGCTGGGCATAGTGGTACATGCCTACAGTCCCAGCTACTCAAGAGGCTGAGGCAGGAGGATCATTTGAACCCAGGAGTTCAAGGACAGCCTGGACAACATGAGACCCGATCTAAACAAAACAAAGCAAACCCAAACCTAACTGAATGAACAGAAAAATGTTACTTCGTTCCCCTTTCCTGTTGTTAATCTCTTCAGTGCTTTGCATTCTGTAGATTAAAGTCCAAATTTCTTTGTCTTACATTTCTAGCCATTTGGTTCTGACGCAGCTTGCCAAGATAATGGTTCCTTTATATGGAAAGGAGCAGAATTTCACTCACTCACCCCTCTTACTAATGCTTTTATCTCATAATATCGAGTACCTCTTCTGTGTCAGGTACTGTTCTAGATGTGGAAGATCACAAAGTTGAACAAGATAAAGTTCTTCCCCTGTCGTTCTCATATATAAGCCTTATACTTTAATTTTTTTTCAGTAGTGAGGATTGAAACTTACATATGCCAGGCAAGTGCTCTGAGATATACCTCGTATTTATGCAGGTCAATATTTTACATTTTGAATATGTCTTACATGTGCCTGTCTCCTTTGCTCACACTGTTCTTTTTTTCTTTCTTTCATTGTCTTATTGGAGAAATATTTATTGGTTGCCTACTTTGTATGAGGCACTATTCACTGGGTGTTGGCGTTCTAACAAAACAAAATCCCTGTTCTCTTGGAACTTACGTTCTTGTGAGGTAAATAGATATTTTATGAAAAACAAGCAAAATGTGTCATAGGGTTATGAAGTAAAATGTAGCACTGCAAGGAATATAGAAAGAGCAGTATGAGGGTCATGGTGCTATTATTTTATACGGGATAGTGACAGACAGCTTCTAAGATACTTGAATGGAGTCCCAAAGGAACTGAGTGATGGAGCTGAGGGTATCTGAAGGAAGAGTGACTACACAGAGGGCACCACAAATGAATGCTCGGAAAGCATGAGGGACAAGGAGAAGGCCAGTACCAGGGGTAGTAAGGGAGCAAGAGACGGCTAAGAAGTAAGCCCAGGTGTCAGAATCCAGAGCCCAAAAGCCGTCACAGCCCTGGTAAGCACGTGGCTTTTGGGCCAGAATAAATTGCATCTCCTCTGACTTTTTACCTCAGGCTCCTTTGTTAAGTTATGATTTCTCTCTCTCTCTCCTGGAACACCTGCTGACCACATAATCCATTAGATACGTAAGTCGTTGAGTGCCTGGCTTTCTTCTTGTAGGACTTCTGTCCTAGCTTCTTAATAATCTGCACTAACTTCGGGACTCAGTCCTATGCCTACCCCACATGACGCTTTACACCTAGTTGGTCCTTAATATATGATTTGTTTCGTGAGGCTCTAGTTTCAGATGTCAGCAATAGGAATTTGAAACTAATGTTTGGGAAAGAAGTGAGAGGACTTGATGATAGATTAGCTATAAGGAATGATGTTAAGGTTTTAGTTTATAATCCTGGAAGAGTAATGGTATTATAGACAGAACAGGAAGAGTTAGGAAGAGAAGCTGATTTATTGGTGACAGCTGCCTGAAATTATGTACTTTTCCCAAGAGCCTCTTATTCATAGTTGTAGTGATTACCAAAGAGTCTGACGAATAATAGATGCTTAAGTAGTTGGTTCTTCATAGACTTAGGCTGGCACGTAGCTATGTTGCTCACCATCAAAAGGGCATAGTCTTTGGTGTAAGTTCCTTGTAGGTCTGAATTCCAGCCCCATCATGTTCTATATGTGTGGTCTTGGTTGAGCAAGTGATTCCTCTGAATCTCAGTAACCTCATCTGGAAAATGGAATATTACGGCCAATCCTGCGTGAATACCAAGGGCCAACTGTAATGGTTTTGGATGTTTTAATAATTTATGTTACAGTTAGTGATAATCTGCATATAGTCTCCCATAAAGACTGTTCTGACATTGCATAGAGGACTCTAGGAAGTTAAACATTGGGGGGCATTGGACTCAGTACCTCAGTTACTGTTATTGTGTATATCAGTTGATATTATATTAGCTTATACTATTACCGGCTATCAAAACAGCCTCATGGTAGAATAGGAGTTGTTGACATATTGGATTACAAGTAATAGAATTATCTTGTATTTGTAGATTAATCTTAACTAAGAATCATTTCGAAGAAGATAAATGACAATCCCCATAGCAATATTTTTATAGTAATAAATTTAGCACTCAATTTGGAGAAGCAAAGAATCTACATTTAATCTATGTTTAAGTACATTTGGGGGCAGAATTTTTTATTTTTGTTTTTTGAGACAGGGTCTCACTATGTAGTTGAGACTGACCTGCTCACTATGTAGCCCAGGCTGACCTCGAACTCACAGTGATCCTTCTGCCTCAGCCTCCCAAGTGCTGGGATTACAGGCGTGCGCCACCACGCCTGATTTAGGGATAGAATTCTTGATTGCAATATTTTATCTTGTTATATACCTCAAATCTTTCTTCAAATTAGAAATTAAGTTTTTGTAGCCTTTTGGGCAGTGACACCCCCCGCCCCGGCCCATAACTCTTTTACTTAGATTTGTAAGTATATCCTTTGGGCAGGTATACTGACCTTGTAGATCCTTCCGGCTGCGTTTCCTTAGGAGCCATTGGGTGCCTCTGAAACTGCATTCTTTACTTTTTGCGGTGAGCTGATGTCGTGGCACTAAGACCCAGAAGCGTTTGTTCATGTGGCTGGAGCTGGGCAGGCTGTGCTTGCTCCGGAGGGAAGGAAGTCATTAGTGCAGACTGAGCTGCGGAGTTGGGTTCTTGCAGGATTTCCTTCCAGCTTTTCCCTACTAAGGTTCTTGGGAATTAAAAAAACAAAAAATCTAAACACACAAACCAAGTTTTCCTATTTACAGTGTTCAGGGAAGGTAGGCGTTTTGGGAAGGACAGATTCTTTCCCCAAGTTATCCAAGAAGGAAGAGAAAAAACAGCGTAAAGAAGCTCTGATTACAGATCTTTGGAATTTTCTTTGCTAAATTTTACAAACGAGAAATACACCCAGAATTTTGGGAATTGCTCCAGGCTGCGCGTGAGGGTTTGATTGCTTGTCTAATCTTTTTTGAGAAGAGGAGAATTCGCCAAAAGGGGTTTGGATGGCAGCAGCCCGGTTGGGTTTCTGCGGCAGCTCGCGTTCTCAGTCTGTTTTCTGAGGGAGGGTCTCGGCCGCGGCTCGCGGACCCCCTGCCTAGGCTCCTTTCGCAGGCGCCGGCGGGGAAAATGCCCCGCGCTGGCAGGAGTACGCTGGTGGCTGCTGGGACTTCCTAGCCTGGTGGGAAGTGTGTTCGTGGTCTGGGGATACTTTTCATTGAACTGAAGGCGAGCGGACTGGACTCTCTTGGGCTTTTTCCCTTCCGCAGTGAATATGGGAAAGAACTAGGGGGTGGGAGGGAGGCAGCATGACTTGCAGTCGCGGCTGCCCTGCATCTGCCCCCAGCCCCCAGCCAACATCTTGATGTTCCACGTATCGGCTGTACAAATATGATGAAATGGCAGCCCCGGAAGAAGGTAAGTGTCCCGGAGCGGGGACGGGGCCCCGAAGCCCGACTCGGAAGGGTACCGAGGGCGGTTGTCCTCGGTCCCTCCACACCTTACGGAGTTCACGGGGCTGGCAGTCCTGGCCGCGTGGCCCCTTAGGGACCTGCGCGGGTCTCTTAGGGAAGAGTTACCGAGTCTGGTCTGGTCCACTGACCTCTTAAGTTTTTCCCGGGGTTTGTGTGGACCCTCAGGGGTGACAGCTCAGAAACACCCACTCGCTTCAGAAGCCCTGCGAGCCAGCGACATGATCAGCTTTGCTGTAGCCAGCCAGGAGCTACAGGGTCCCGGGACGCGGGGCCCCCGGTCCCTGGTGGAGCGGACCTCTGCCCCCGTCCGCCGTGGCCCCGCAGGTGGGTGTCGTAGCACCTACTTCCCCAAGGGGTTAATGGGCTCCGGCCGCTGGCAGCCGCTACCCCAGGGCCCCGCTGGGGG